TATATGTTGGGGACCGGCCAAGACAGGGGAGTTCAGTTCACGAAGTAGGGAGATCTGACGGTGACAGAGACAGAAAAAGAGTACACACAAAGACGCAATGAGAGAGAAAAAGAGACACCCCGAAACTAGGGTGGATGTGAAACTGGCGGGCAGACCCTGGACTACAGGCATCGTGGCCCTTGCAGGCAGTAATGCACAGCCAGCCCTGCAGGCAGAAATGCACGTGGGCTTCAGTCTGCGCCCCCTTTTTATTTCAGGGAGGGGCTTTACACAAAGGCAGAAGGGGGATTATTAAGACAGGGTACAGAAATGAAATGTGATTAATCATTCAGAACAGGACACAATGATTTACAGGAACAAATTCTAAAACATACATCACAAATTGGCTTGATAATCTAACATCCTTAATTTTCTAGAAATTCAAGCAAATTGTTATAAATTACTTTTTAGGTTCGAATCCCAAGGCAGCAGCTCGAGGTTTCTCCAGGCTAATTAACATACCTATAGCTCTTAATCTCGAATGGGAAAGGTGAAAAGGATTCAAAAGGTCTGGAAGGACTCCAGCTGTTTCAGCTACCTGGCCTAGGCTTGCAGGAGGAAGGAGGACACCTAGGTTAATGGTTTGCACCTGGGGATGATTTGAGAAGGCTGTCACTATTGTTCCTTGAACAATACCCTGGAATTCGCCAATCTACTTTGAGTGAATACCCTGGGCAGACTGTCTCCAGAGTCTCCCAGCAAACTTGCCTTTGGAACTTTTTACAGCCTCGGCTTTAGGAGGGGCTTTTGTTTTAATATTTGTCCATGGGTATCAAGGGCTCATGTATTAAGTTAATATCAAACATAACTGAGTAACTTGATAAAGAACAGTTTTGCCATGCTTGCCAGGTGGCCAGAGTTTGTTCCTCAGAGAGATTTGTTCCCAGAACCTTACACACTGCCAACACAGTGGAGACATTAAGAGAGGCACATAAGAAACCATTTTCTCGGAGGCTACAATTACTGGAGTTTGAAGCATAGAATGAATAATAGGACCAAAGAAAATTATACAGAGCTAGCCCAACAGTGAGTTCGTAAAAGCCAATGAACCCGGGACATCTGGAGGTTACTTCCTTGGGCCCTCAGGGTCCCTGGCTAGCCATCCTGAGTGGGGCCATCGTGTAGGATTTTCGTCCATGACACAGGGCCTCAACATCTCAGTGATTGGGTCTCCAACAGGTATATCTAACATCAGCAGTGATATCCTTCATTTCACATCCTCATCTGAATCTGACTGGAACCTCTGGCAGTTCCTTGTCAATGTATGGTTATAGCTGTTTTTGAATTATCTTTAGTAAAATTTTACTTGCATGTGATATTAATGGAATGTAAAGGAATATGTTACATCTCTATATTTATTTGGAGCATTATGTCATTTAGTAGAAGTCTTGTCCACTTCTCCTGAGGCTCATTCTCATAAATGAATTTTTTCTCCTTTATGTTTTCTAATTTGCTGTTGCTGGTATAGTTTTTAAGAAACTGCTGAGTTTTGTAAATGAATCTCAGAATCATCTACTTTATTGAACTTACTATTAATTATAATGCTTTTTCCAATGGATTCTCTTAGGTTTTGTAACTCGATAATTGCATAATTTTGCAAATGAGAACTTTTCATCCTTTCATTTGTAATTTTTATATATACTTTCTTTTTCTTATGTTATTGTGTTGTAAGGATCTCTGAGTGAATTGGGGAAGAGGGGTGGTGATTCAGGAAGTGTTCTTGGTGAAAGTTAACTTAAGTTGTACATAAAGATGCTGCTTTTGTTAAGTGCCATCAAGTGGGTTTCGACTCATAACGACCCTGAATAGGGTTTCCAAGGAGCCACTGGTGGATTTGAACTGCCAACCTTGCTGTTAGCAGTCCAGTGCTTACCCTGCAGTGCCACACCAGGATGAGTGGTAGGTAAAATAGCAGGTGAGTGGAGGATGCATTTCAGTCCAGGCCTTGAGGAGAGAAACAAGGTAGCATTCAATGAATAAAACAAATGGAGTTTGTTTCTGCATCATTAATGCACAAAATACTTGTATGGTAGATTTTTTACTTTTGTCATAAATGCTAAATGTCACATAACAAGGTAGTTGATATGTGAGGAGTAGGTGTACTTCTTAGACGTAACCAGTGGAATGATGTACTAGGTTTGAAGGCTTACCACGATAGTCTCATGGGACAAGTCAGTTGTCATAATACAGTTCATAAAGTATGTGTTCTAGGTCCTAATTTGGTGAGTTGTGTAGGGCCTGCTGGACTCGTAGTCAGCACAAACTGGATTCATTTACCCTGAGACCAGAAGAACTAGATGGATTCAAATAGACCAGAAAACGAATGTAGAATAGAACTCAAATTCTTAAAAACCCAGACATATGGCACCAGTTGAGGTTACATTATCGCCCTGAGATACCCTTTAAACTTTGAACTGAAGCTACTCCCAGTGGTCACCTCTCAGCTAAATAACAGAATGGCTCTTAAAATAAAGAATATCACATGCAAGTGCTGTGCTCCTTTGAAAAATTACCCTTAGGAAACTAAATGATCAACATTTACTCTAAAGAAAAGATGAAAAGGTAAGGAGGGAAACTAGATTAATGGACAATTAAGCAGGTAGAACAGAAATAATGAGAATATTGACACAATATGAAAAAAATGTGACCAGTGTCACTGAGCAATTTATGTAAAACCAAAACCAAATCTATTGCTGTCAAATTGATTGTGATTCACAGCAACCCCGTAGGTTTTCTAGGCTGTGATCTTCATGGAAGCAGACGATCACATTTTTCTCCTGTGGAGCATCTGATGGGTTTGAACTGCTGACCTTTCAGTTAGCAGCTGAGCACTTCACCACTATGCCACCAGTTCTCCTGGACAATTGGTATGCTGTTGTTAGTGCCATCAAGTCATTTCGCAGTTCATTGCTGATCCTATAGTGCTATACCAGGACAGTTTGTATAGGACTCTAATTTGCTATGTAAGCTTTCACCCCAAACATAGTAAGATACAGTTTTTATTAAAAAAACAATAGAACAGTTGCTATCAAGTAGATTCTGACTCATGGCGACCTCATGCATAGCAAATCGTAATATGCTCCATAGATTTTCAGAGTCTGGTAGTGCTATAGGATAAGTAGTGGCCTGCTAACCACAAGGTCAGCAGTTCAAACCCACCAGCGGCTCCCAGGGAGAAAGATGAGGCTGTATGCTCTTGTAAAGATTCACAGTCTGGGGAGCCCTATATAGTTTCCCTATGAGTTGGAATTGACTTCATGGCAGTGGGACTCTTTCAGAAGTAGATCACAGGCTTTTTTTCTGAGGCATCTTTGGATGGATTTGAACTGCCAACCCAGGTACTTAGTAACTAAATGCTTAATCATTTGTGCCACCCAGGGACTTCGAATCATTTACTATTGAGTCAAATCTGACTCATAGAGACACTGTATGTTTCAAAGTCATACTGTGCTCCTTATGGTTTCATTGGTTACGATCTTTTGGAAGTATATTGGCAGGCTTTTCTTCTGAAGCACCTCTGGGTGGGTTTGAGCTAATAACCTTTCAGTTAGTTGATGAGCACTTAACTGTCTATGCCATCTAGGAACTCAATTAAGGTTTTTGTTGTAAAGTGCCTTGGAGTCATTTCTGATTCATAGCGACCCAGTATAGGCTTTCTGAGGAGCAGCTGTTGGATTTGAACTGGTGACCTTGTGGTTAGAAATCCAGTGCTTATCCTACAGCGCCACACCATGAATCCCAATTAAGGTTGTTGACCTGGAAATAAGGAAATTACCTTGGATTATCCAAGCAGACTCATGAGCCCTGAAAAGCAGGCAACTTTCTGCAGTTGGAAGTGGAAGACAGATGTGGCAGATGGGAAACTTGGAGAAATTAAAAGACTTAGAGGGACTGACTTACTGAAGCTGAAGGGGGACCACATGGGAAGCATAAGGAGGAATGTGAGCAGCCTCTGGGGCCAAGACTGGCACTCATCCTACAGCGAGCAATGAATTGGAAGCTCAGTACGATAGCTTCAAGGAACTGAATTCAAGCGCGGGTAAGCTTGAAAGTGGATTCATCTGCCAAGTCTCCAGAAAGAAACTCTGTTCTACACCTTGGTTTTGGTTTTATGAGACTTCAAGCAAAGGACTTGGAGTCCTGGTGTGGTGCTGTAGGATAAGCAGTGGACCTCAATGTTGGTTTGAACTACAAGGTCAGTGGTTCAAAGCCATTATACAGGGTTGCTATGAGTCGGAACCAACTCAGCAGCACTTAACAACAACAGCATCAGTGGCACCTCTCTACTCCTGGACTCTTGGCCTTCAGAACTGTGAGATGATAAGACTGTGTTGTTTCAAGTTGCTTAGTTTGTGGCATTTGTTACAGCAGCAGTAGAAAACTAATACATGAGAAGGCTTCAAAAGTTCATAGAAAAATTCTGTGATCTTTCTATTCTACTTTTCCACAACTTTTTAAATCCCCCTCGTACATGGAAGTTTAAACAGAGAAGCAACATCAAATTCTGTATTATTAAAAGATCACTTCTTGTGTTGTGTGGAAAATGGATTTGAGAAGAGTGCAAATTTGGAGGCAAGGAAGCTCGTTCATGGGTTACAGTGATGGCTTTGGAATAGGGTAACAGTGGTGGTGGGAGGGGGATTTGAGATTTACTTTGGAAGTTACAGTTGCCAGAACTCTGTCACCGATTGGATGTCAGGGATGTGGGAGGGCTCAGAGGATGCAGTGATGACAGCTGATGTCTGGCTCGGGTGTAGGTGGCACTGTTACTGGAGATAGTGATGACCAATTGGAAGTTGTTCACATCATGAACTCAGTGGTAATTCTAAATTGTCCTTTATTTGGAAATTCTTTCTGTACATATTTTAATATAGCATTTATCAATAAGATGACTTTTATCTTTTATGACCTGATTTCTTTTTTCCCCTTAGGTCATGTAGGAAATCACAAATCATGTGAAGATGGGACTCTTGGTATTTGTGCGTAATCTGCTGCTAGCCCTCTGCCTCTTTCTGGTACTGGGATTTCTGTATTATTCTGCGTGGAAGCTTCATTTACTCCAGTGGGAGGATGCCAGTAAGTACAGTCACTTTATCCCATCCGAGAAGCAGTATTCTTCAGAGATGGACAGTAAGGGTAACTCAGTGTTTCTAGGAGTTAGGCTTAGAAATTGCCTACCACTTTAGTTGCTATACGTTAAGAATTTTAATGTTATTTTTTAAAAAACCTGCATGCCATGGCAAATCTGAATTCCTTTTATAAAGCCAGCAAGAAAAGAGTTATTCTTCAATAAAAACCCCAACTCCACTAGCTCTTGCATGTGTTTGTTCATCTATTTAATTACTACAGAGTATTGGCACCCCCATTTACCATTTATCTCCTTGGGGTTTGGCATTATGGCTGATTTTCTTCTGCCTTTAAAACATTGATCTTTGCCTTTTTCTTTAATTTTCAATGTAGTACCATCTTTGTTTTGTTTTCCTTAAAGAAACTTGTTTACTGAATCTCTTTATTTAGCTTTTGCTGTTGCTGAACCTGCGCTTGACTTAAAATAATGAGTTCTTTCCTCTCACCAGTAACCCCTAACTCCTTTTTTTTTTAAGTCCCATGTGTGGGACCTTCAAAAAGTTCACGGAAGAATGGAGTGAAATGCTAATGGAATTTTTCCACGAATGTTTTGAAGCCCCTTAGTAGTGCTTACCACATAGCTGCCTGAACCCCTCTGACTTGGTTTGTATTCCGCTGATGCTGTCCTTGTGTTTTAGTTGTTGACTTGCAGTTGAAGGGCCTTCATTGATCAGCACTAACTTGTATAGCTCAAAATATCATACAGTGACTCTAAGTGGTTTTCCTTTTGGTTTCTTTATCTGATGGCTATCTGAGCTCGGTGCAGGAGGTATTAGGTTATCTGTTCTGATTCCCAGTGAGTATGACTTCTCTGAAAGTGGCTTTATTTTTATAAATACCTACTGGACACCAGTATAAAACTCACTTGATAGTAAAGTCAGTTTTCAAAATGAGTTGGAAAGGCACTTGGTAGATTGGACTACTGTTGTATTGAGACCTTAACATGAGAACTGTACCTATTATTTATTATTTATCATGCGGCCCAAATGACTGTAGTAGTTTTAAGAGAACTTTAAAAATATAGCCTTGTATTTTTAATATCCACTATTCGTCTGGTTATAAATCAGCTGCGAACCTCAAGGTCAGCAGTTCGAAACCACCAGCTGTTCTGTGGTAGAAAGATGAGGCTTTCTGCTCCCGTAAAGATTTATAGCCTCGGAAATCCTGTACAGGCTCACTATGAGTCAGAACCAACTCCACAGCACATAGCCACCAGCACATATTCGTCTGTCAGTTTGCTGTACTGTGGTGGTTTGCGTGTTGCTGTGATTCTGGAAGCTCTGCCATGGGTATTTTAAATACCAGCAGGACCACCCATGGTGGACAGGTTTCATCAGAGCACCCAGACGAATTCGGAAGGAGAGACCGACTACTTCTGAATACTTGGTCACTGAAAACCTTATGAATAGCAGTGGAACACTGTCAACACCAGAATATTCAATATTGAAACACAGTGAAGAGCACCAGAATATTGTCAGATACAGTTCTGGAAGATGAGCCCCTCAGGTTAGAAGGCACTCAAAATACAACTCGGGAAGAGCTGCATCCTCAAAATAGAGTTGACCATGATGACGCAAATGGAGTAAAGCCCTCGGGACCTTCATTTGCTGATGGGGCACAATTCAAAATGAAGAGAAACAGCTGTAAACATCCATTAATAATCGGAACATGGAATGTATAAAGTATGAATGTAGGAAAATTGGAAACTGTCAAAAATGAAATGAAAATGAAAACAATAAACATTGATATCCTAGGCATTAAGTGAGCTGAAATGGACTAGTATTGGCCATTTTGAATCTGATAATCACATGATTTACTAAACCAGGAATGACAAATTGAAGATGAATAGTGTAACATTCATCATCAAAGAGAACAAATCAAGATCTGTCTTGAAGTACAATGCTGTCTCTGATAAGATAAAATCCACACGCCTACAAGATCAGTTAATGGCACTATTCAAATTTATGCACCAACCACTAAAACCAGTGATGATGAAATTAAAGAATTCTATCAACTTATTCAGTCTGAAATTGATTAAATGTGCAGTCAATATGTATTGATAATTACTGGTGATTGAAATTCGAAGGTTGGAAACAAAGAGGTAGAAGTAGAATCAGTAGTTGGAAAATCTACGGCCTAGGTGAGAGAAGCAATGTTGGAGATCACTTGATAGAATGTTGCAAGACCAATTACTTTTTCATTGCAAATACCTTTTATAATTATAAACAGCATAAAAGACGACTATACGCATGGACCTTACCAGACACAGAAATCAAATTGGCTACATCAGTGGAAAGAGATGGTAGGAAAGCTCAATATCATCAGCCAAAGCAAGGCTAGGGGCAGACTGGAACCAGGCCATCAATTACTCATATACAAGTTTATGCTGAAGTTGAAGAAAATTAAAACAAGCCCATGAGAGCCAAAATATGACCTTGAACATATTCCGCCTGAATTTAGAGATCATCTGAAGAACAGATTTTGACTTAGATACTAAAGACCAAAGACCAGATTTGTGGGATGATACCAAGAACATCATACAGAAAGAAAGCAAAAGGTCATTAAGAAAATGAGAAAGAAGGAAAAGACCACAATGGATTTCTGAATTGCTCTCCAGCATAGAGATGCTAAAGCAAATGGAAGAAATGAGATAAAAGAGCTGAACAGAAAATTTCAAAGATCAGCTCGAGAAGACAATCAAATATTATAACGAAATGTGCGAAGACCTGGTGTTAGAAAACCAAAAGTGAAGAATAGGCTTAACATTTCTCAGGCTGAGGGAACTTAAGAAAAAATTCAAGCCTGAACATAACAATATTAAAGGATACCATTGTTCCTTCAATGTAACATCACTCATCCCAATTCCTCCTTGTGTTTCTTGTTCTGTTCCTCTTTCTTTCCCAACCCTTATGAATTCTATCCTTACATTAATCTGCCCCTTTGATCTCAAATGGTTGACCGTTCTGCGGTGTGTGTACCTCATCAGTGTTGTTGTTTCACCCTATATACATATCTATTGCTTGGCTGAAAAGTGCACAGTGGGTGTGAGTTCAATTCCAGACCTGTTGGGTGAACAGGGGCCATGATCTCAGGGTTCCACCAGTCTGTCTAACCAGTAACCCTGGTCTTTTATTTGATTTTGAGTTTTGTTCCAATTTTTCTCCCACTCTATCTGGATCTTCTAATGTGATCCCTTTCAGAGCAGTTGGTAATAGTAGCTCGTAGTTCTTTGGGTCTCAGGGTCATGGAGACTGATGTTCACATGGTCCCTTAATCCCTTGGACTTAATTATTTCAATGTGTTTTCAGTTTTCATCACTCTTCTTTTCTCTGCACAGGGAGAGAACAGTAGTTATACATTAGGTGACTGATCATGAGTTTTTAAGGCCCAAGTTGCTGCTCAGCAGAACAGGATGTAGGATATTGGCTTTGTGCACTATGGTGTTGATTGACCATGGTGTTCCCTAGGACTATACCTTCCCTGAAAGCGTTTGATAGATCTAAGAAGTATTCACCATTTTGCCCCTATTTGGCTTGTAGGATCAGCACTGGACTGCTAACCACAAGGTTGATGGTTCAAACCCAGCAGCTGCTCCTTGGAAATCCTGTACAGAGTTGCTTTGAGTTGGAATTGACTCGATAGCACTTAATAACAATAATACCCTCCACCACATTCAGCACATAACCACCACCACCACCACATTCATGGATGTTTGCAGCAAAATATCCTCTGTCAAACCTTTATATGTTTTTATGTATACTCTCATTCTGCCTCCTACACCTGTTCGGCCTACTTGTCTATCCATGTATCTGTCTCTGGTGGTGGTGGCTGTGTGCCATGGAGTCGGTTCCGACTCATAGCGACCCTGTACAGGGTTTCTGAGGCTGTAAATCTTGACGAGAGCAGAACGCCTCATCTTCCTCCCACAGAACAGCTGCTAATTTCGAACTGCTGATCTATCTCTGAATCACCTTAATTGCAGGATTGTGTATACAACAGTGTTTACCTCTGTTGCCTTTAACTCTTACCCTTCTCCCTGTGTCTTCCCGTGCCTTCTCCATTCTTCTGCCTCTATTCTTCTGCCAACCTTCGTCTTGTTGTATATTACCATCCCCATCACCCAAGTCTACACATGTCTACCCTTTAGCCAGTTAATTACTCCCCCTTCTCTCCATCCTTGGTAACCCTCAAAGACTGTTTTAGTGTGAAGATCTTTTCCTGATTTTTTTATAATAGTGATTTCACACAATATTTGTCCTTTTGTGATTGACTGTTTTCACTCAGCATAATGCCCTGCAAGTGTATCCATGTTATGAGGTATTTCACAGATTCATCATTATTCTTTACTGTTGTGTGGTGTTCCATTGTGTGTATGTGCCAGACTTTTTCTTTTCTTCCTTTGATGGACATTTAGATTGGTCTCATCTTTTTGCTTTTGTGACTAGTGCTGTGATGAACATGGGTGTGTATATATATATATATATTTGTGTATTGTGACTCTTATTTCTCTAGAATATATTCCAAGTAGAGAGGTTGCTAGTCATATGGTATTTCTATATCCAACTTTTTGAGGAAGTCCCATATCCTTTTCCATGGTGGCTGCACCATTTTACAGTCCCACTGGCGGTGTATGAGGATTCCAGTTTCTCTACACCCTCACCAACATTTGTTGTTTCTGTAGTTTGCTATTAATGCTGGGGTGAGGTGAGAACTAATTTGCATCTCTCTTAGACCAGTAATCATGAAGATTGCTTTATATGTTTATTGGCTACCTGAATGTTGTCTTTGGTGAAGTGTTTGTTCATGTCCTCTGCCCATTTTTCATTTGGGTTATTTGTCTTATTCTTGGTGAAGTGTTTTAAGTCCAGGAGACTGCCCGGGAGAAAGAAGGAGTGTTGGGGTCAGTGCCGTACTGTTAAGAGGAGTTAGAGGAAGAAAGGAGTTGTGTGTATCCTAAT